AAATAGTTAAATGATGTGAGGGTTTAAATGGTGGAAATGTTGTTGTTGGGTTTATAATGGCCCCTGAGAGACGCCATACATGTGGGGGTGGGAGGCGAGCGGGGCGAACCCCCCCCTATCCACTTAAGTATAATTTATAAATAAGAAAAATTTACATTGAATTTAAAAATAAGTTTATTCAGGGTACCAATATTACGTACATAGATTATCTTAATACACCCTGTGTTAAAGTACCTAGGATAACCCAAAAAGTCAAGGGGACTTCAAATTTTTTCCGGGGTCCTTTTTTTTTACATTTCATTTTTCTTTTATCCCATGGGGAAGTTGACAGAAATTCTTCCCATAACTATGCGTGTTGTAAAGGCAAAAAAATGCCAGGGGGAAGGGGGTGTAACCCCTTCTCCTTTTATAAAAAACTAAATTTAAAAAGAAACTTTTGTTTTTCTTTTTGGGGCCACCCCGCCCTTTGGGGGGAATGCCGGGTTTGTTTAAAAAAAAAATTACTTTTAACTCACACTTCTTTACACTTTCCTTGGAGGAGATGTTTGTTTAATTAGTGTGATGGAGGAATGCTGGCGGGGGGTTTAGGGTGGGGAAGATCGTAGAGGGGGGCATAGTTTAGGGGTTCTATACAATCCAACAACATTGGAGATTACTTTTTATCGTTTTTTTTTTTCGCTTACTCGCTTAAAATTTGTACTGTTTAATTTACCTTTTCACTGGTGGACGTAGCCCTTTTTCGATACCGCGCTTTGTATCGTACATGAGAATCATGAATACGCGAAGGCACATTCTCCTCTCTTTCCTCCTCCCCTTTGGTACTTTGTCGAGTTTTTTTTTTTTTTAAATTTTATTGTGCTTCTTTCCCCTTTTTTTCCCCAGGACTGGCAAAAGTTTTTTTGGGCCCCTGGTGGCTATTTTGCGTTACAAGCCTAAAACAAAGGAATAATACAAATATTCCAGTTGCGTGGGAAACATCCTCTCGGCTTGTAAACAATGGACTACAGGAGTGGACGGGTGGTCGGGTAGGCCGCGTGGACACATTTGGGACGAATGCCCTTAAACCGGGTTTTGGGCTTAGCCGGCCAAAATTTTGATGCAAAAAGTGCCGCTAACTATTTTGCCATTTTGCCAATGAGGTTACTGAGCATCCCCCGTACGTATAGTCACGACAATTTTTAAAACACTTTAGTACCCCCGACAGTTATTGTTTTTTTTTTTAGTGATCTACTGACAAATCTTTTCCCTAGGGGCTGTGAAGAGCCCCAGAGGAATTCATTTTTTCAGTTTTCGTACGTATGTAGTAATTCGAGCATCTGAGGTAGTACAATTTATGATACAATCTTACATTTTTAAGTTCGTAATTAGTTCTTTTACAGTGGTAGAATACAAATATTCTATATTTTACTCTATTATTAGCCCTTTGGAGGTTTCGGACGTACTAGTACGTCTTACGACCCAGGGTTTTTGATATACATGTACTAGTATGCCTAAATTCTAATGCCCTCAAATCTAGTGAGAGAAAGCTAGTAGGCCTACATATGAAAGAATGGGTCTATGTGGTCAGTGTGCACAGTATAAAAAAATCCTGCAGCACACAGTGCGTAATGAGAAAAAAAACTGACTGTGTTTTTGGATTAAAACAGCGACTTTGCACTGTATTTTCGTATGGTATTTATTGTTGTATTCTAGTTTTCTTGGTCTCATTTTATAGAATGGAAGACATATTACAGAAATTGAGATGATTTTGACTGGTTTTACAATGAAAAGTACCTTGAAATTGAGCTCAAAGTACCAGAAATATTCGATTTTTACCAAATTTCAAAACTAAACAAATCATGCCAAGCGTCCAATACACATCAACTGGTGAGTCTAATATTCTTTCACAAGTGCGCTGATATTATTTATACCATTTCTACACTAATGCAGTAGTCTACATAACAGTAAATCTTATTTTTTTTGTAAGAATAAAAATTCAAAGTGGAAAGCCAAAGAAATATAAGAGGGGCCTGGGGATGTGACTAACAAACAGAGAACTTGTTATTTTAGTGCCAGGAATGTCTTTCTTGTTTATTCTGCACTCTATTTGGAAATTGGCATCTTTTGAAATTTGTGTGAAAAGGCAAAATTGCTAAATTCTGACCACTTCATTGGATAGTTGAAATCGGCAAATGGGTGGTTTCTTGTACTCATTTGATAGAAAAAATGGAGTTCTAGCGAAATAATTATGATTTTTGTCGACTAGTACACTGGAATTGGCCGAAAATAGGGCTCAAAGTGGGTAAAATCGCTGATGCGTAAACATTGTCGAGGCCGCTAACTTCGCAAGAAAATAATTCCGTAAGTTTTCCATCAAATTTCATACTTTTGGTGCCATTATGATCGGGAAAAGATTCTCTATCTTTTCATTAGAATTTTTTTTTTTTTTTTTTTTTTTTTTTTTTTGAAATTTGGCCGACCCTGAGAACAAGTCTCTGAGAGGACCTGTCGACCCCCAAAGGGTTAATGTATGAGGTAGTACAATTTATGATACAATCAATTTATGATAACCTCAATCTTACATTTTTTTAGTTCGTAATTAAGTTCATTTACTCTATTATTAACATGAGGTAAAACAGACCAGTACAGTGGACCCCCACATACCGTACGCATTGCATACCGTACAATCCGCATACCGGACGCTTTGATCGCTAAAATTTTGCCTCGCATACCGCCCAAAAACCCGCTCACCGCCCTTCATCCGAGACGCGTCCAATGTGCAGCCTGAGCCAGCCTCATATGTTCCGCCGGTGGCATTGTTTACCAGCCAGCCTCCGTGGTAACATCCAAGCATACAATCAGAATATTTCGTATTATTACAGTGTTTTCGGTGCTTTATCTGGAAAATAAGTGACCATGGGCCCCAAGAAAGCTTCTAGTTCCAACCCTACAGCAATAAGGGTGAGAATTCCAATAGAGATGAAGAAAGAGATCATTGATAAGTATGGAAGTGGAGTGCATGTCGCCGACCTGGTCAGGTTGTACAAGAAACCCAAATCACCATCTCTACTATTGTGGGCAACAGAAAGGCAATCAAGGAAGCTGTTCTTGCCAAAGGTTTAACTGTGTTTTCGAAACAGAGATCGCAAGTGATGGAAGATGTTGAGAGACTCTTATTGGTGTGGATTTAAATGAAAAACAGCTAGCAGGAGATAGCGTTTCTCAAGCGATCATAAGCGAAAGGCTAGGAAGTTGCATGAGGATTTAATTAAAAAATGCCTGCAACTAGTGATGATGTGAGTGAATTTAAGGCCAGCAAAGGTTGGTTTGAGAGATTTAAGAAGCATAGTGGCATACATAGTGTGATAAGGCATGGTGAGGCTGCCAGTTCGGACCACAAAGCAGCTGAAAAATATGTGCAGGAATTCAAGGAGTACATAGACAGTGAAGGACTGAAACCTGAACAAGTGTTTAATTGTGATGAAACAGGCCTGTTTTGGAAGAAAATGCCAAGCAGGACCTACATTACTCAGGAGGAAAAGGCACTCCCAGGACATAAGCCTATGAAAGACAGGCTTACTCTGTTGATGTGTTCCAATGCTACTGGTGATTGCAAAGTGAAGCCTTTATTAGTGTATCACTCTGAAACTCCCAGACCGTTCAGGCAAAAGAATGTCTCAAGGAGAATTTGTGTGTGCTGTGGAGGGCAAACAGTAAGGCATGGGTCACTAGGGACTTTTTCTATGACTGGTTACACCATGCATTTGCCCCAATGTGAAAGATTACCTAATGAAAAGAAATTAGAACTTAAGTGCCTCTGGTGTTAGACAATGCCCCTGGTCATCCTACAGACGTGGCAGAGCGACTTTATGGGGACATGAAATTCATTAAGGTGAAGTTTTTGCCTCCTAATACCACTCCTCTCCTGCAGCCCATGGACCAGCAGGTTATTGCAAACTTCAAAAAACTGTACACAAAAGCTCTGTTTGAAAGGTGCTTTGTAGTGACCTCAGAAACTCAACTGACTCTAAGAGACTTTTGGAGAGATCACTTTAATATCCTCAGTTGTATAAACCTTATAGGTAAGGCTTGGGAGGGTAGTGACTAAGAAGACCTTGAACTCTGCTTGGAAGAAATTGTGGCCAGAATGTGTAGACAAAAGGGATTTTGAAGGGTTTGAGGCTAACCCTGAGAGGATTATGCCAGTTGAGGAATCCATTGTGGCATTGGGAAAGTCCTTAGGTGGGGATGATGTGGAAGAGTTGGTGGAGGAGGACAATGAAGAACTAACCACTGATGAGCTGATAGATCAACTTCAACAGCAAGAGGCCAGACCTGAGGAAACTGGTTCGAAGGAGGGGAGAGAGAAATTGAAGAAATTGCCTACTACAAAGATTAAGGAAATCTGTGCAAAGTGGCTTGAAATGCAAACCTTCATGGATGAAAATCACCCTCACACAGCTATTGCAAGCCGTGCTGGTGACTATTACACTGACAATGTTGTGAAACACTTTAGGGAAGTCATAAAGGTACAGGCCACTATGGACAGATATGTTGTGCGAAAGAAGTCCAGTGACTCTGAAGCTGGTCCTAGTGGCATTAAAAGAAAAGGACTCGACACCTCAAGTCTTAATGGAAAGGGATTCCCCTTCTAAACACTAACACCATCAACACTCTCCCCTCCTCCCATCCCATCAATCATCACCAGATCTTCAATAAAAGTAAGTGTCATGTAATTGTGCATGCCTTTTTCAGTTTGTGTGTATTAAAATTAACATTTCATGTGGTAAAAATTTTTTTTTTTCATACTTTTGGGTGTCTTGCACGGATTAATTTGATTTCCATTATTTCTTATGGGGAAAATTCATTCGCATACCGAACATTTCGCATAACAGCCAGCCCTCTTGCACGGATTAAGGTCGCTATGCGGGGGTCCACTGTATCTAACTTGTGCTTTTATTCAGCCTAAACCCAAAGTGACAGGGGTTCAGTATGTTATGGGATAGGAGGTAGGAGTAGATTTGTTTATGTATTATTTTTTTGAAGATTTTAGAGAACAAAGGCAAGTTATATATTGGTCTGTAGTTATTTAGTTCTGTAGGATTGACTCTTTTGAGGATCAGGGTGACCCTTGCCATCCATACTCAAGACAGCATGGGACACCTCAAAGTACTATACGTATAACTATATATACAGAGCTAAATAACTACAGAATAACATCTAACTCTCCTTTGCTCTCTGAAATCTTCGAAAAAATAATCCATAAACAAATCTACTCCTACCTCCTATCCCATAATATACTGAACCTTTGCCAGTTTGGGTTTAGACCTGAATAAAAGCACAAATGATCAATTATTCAGATGCTCGAATTACTATATACAGCAACTGAAAAAAATGAATATCCTCTGGGGCTCTTCATAGACCTACGTAAAGCATTTGATACAGTAGACCTCGATGACGCACTGACTTTCTTGGGTTATCCTGGGTGGCTAACCCTCCGGGGTTAAAAATCCGAACGAAATCTTATCTTATCTTACCATGCACCTAAAACTAGAGCATTATGGGGTCAGAGGACACACTCTTCTTTCAATACACCGGCTGTATCCCAACGAAGCGGGGCGGCCCAAAAGGAAAAACAGAAGTTTCTCCTTTCACATTTAGTAACATATACAGGAGAAGAGGTTACTAGCCCCTTGCTCCCGGCATTTTAGTCGCCTCTTACAACACGCATGGCTTACGGAGGAAGAATTCTGTTCCACTTCCCCATGGAGATAAGAGGAAATAAACAAGAACAGGAACTAGAAAGAAAATAGAAGAATACCCAGAGGGGTATGTATATATATGCTTGTACATGTATGTGTAGTGTGACCTAAGTGTAAGTAGAAGTAGCAAGACATACCTGAAATCTTGCATGTGTATGAGACAGACAGAAAAGACACCAGCAATCCTACCATCATGTAAAATAATTACAGGTTTTCGTTGTACACTCGCTTAGCAGGACTGTAGTACCTCCCTGGGCGGTTGCTGTCTACCAACCTACTACCTAGGCTTAGTGAAGACATTAGTATGTATTCATAAATGGCGTGACTTCCAATACTCAACCTGTAGTTGTATTTATTGTTTGTGGTTCATGTATATTTGTCCTAGGTCCTCTACTCTTTCTTATTTACATCAATGACCTCCCAAATGCACATCCTGTACCTTTATAAAGTTGCTTGACAAGGTACATCCTGTACCATTATACTGACAAAGGTATATCTGGACCATTATAAAAGTCACTTAACAAAGGTACATCCTGGGCCACTATAAAAGTACATGAGGAAACAAATGCTCCCTAAATATTTCCTTTCCAAATTGTTGACCAGTTACAAATTTTTGTCATTATTGTTTAGTATTTTAGTTGACAAATAGTGTTTTCTAATACGTAGAGGTTTTATGTACCAATAAATGTAAGTTAGTGTACTTTAGGATAAACGGTTTTGTAATTACATTATCCTTGTTTTATCGGTGTTTTATTAAGGCAGTAGGAAGGTAAACCAAGGGCTCTAAATACGGAAAGTTGCAAATACAGTGGACCCCCGCTTAACGATCACCTCCAAATGCGACCAATTATGTAAGTGTATTTATGTAAGTGTGTTTGTACGTGTATGTTTGGGGGTCTGAAATGGACTAATCTACTTCACAATATTCCTTATGGGAACAAATTCAGTCAGTACTGGCACCTGAACATACTTCTAGAATGAAAAAAATATTGTTAACCGGGGGTCCACTGTAGTACTTAATTATTAAGGATGTGTATCTGTGTGCCTCTGACAAGACAGTGATGGTGTGAATGATGGTCAAAGTGTCTTCTTTTTTGGGTCACCTTGCCTTGTTGCTGTGTTTTTACTGAATCATCTTATATATAAAAAAACGTCATTTGTTGTTTCTCAGGTGCTGTATAATCAGTATGAGTTTAGAGCTTCCCAATGACTCTGAAGGTAAGTGTGTAAGGCTGGATTATAAAAGGCTGAATGGCTTGCCTTGTGAAACTCTTATGTATTGAGAAGATCACTTTGTTAACTATTGTAAAAAGTGTAGTTGCATTTTTTTTTTTTTTTGTGTTTAAAGATTAATAACTTTGTCATCTCATAAGAATGGAATAATGTGAATTTGTAAAATACTTTTTTTGTTACATTTTGGACTGCAGATGCTTATCGACTTATAGTGGGGTTATGTTCCCACAAAACCATTGAAAATATTTTGTCAAGTATGAATGATATGATAAATAAGTCAATAAATAACTACTGCCACTGAATAATAAATAATTAACTAAATACCAGTATTGAAAAGTCAGTAAATGAATACAAGTTATGGACTTGTTGCCTTCATATTGGGTAATTATCTCAAGTTTCACCTCCACAGTAATTGCTGCCACACCATCGTAAAGTTGAAATATCCCGAGTCAAACCATTGTAGGTTGAGGCGCACCTGTTGTGTATGGTATTGTGATAAAAGAATAGCCATTTATTGCAGGAATATTGCTCTAGTACATGTTTGACCACACTTTACATTTTATCACAGGAATTTTTTTTTTGTGTAAACATTGTGCTGCCATTAAATTTTTTTTTTTTTCAGAAATTTTTATATAGTGTTGTGTTGAGCAGTACTTTTTGATTAGTAACTGTTAGTTGCAATATTGCTACAGTTTATTTCAGTGTAATACTCTGTGATTTCAGTTTCACATTTCTTGTTCTGTGCATAATATTTTATTCTTGTGTGTCATTTTATTTTTTTTTACATAGAATTGCTTTCCCAGTTTGTTTTAATTTTGCACAAGATTTATTGATTCCATTTCATCATTTTTGTTTGATTTATCATTTATTGTTGAATTTCTTTGTTGAGAAATTCTCCAGGTGCATGTATGCACCTGGAGAAGAGAGGAATGTAGAGGAGAGAGAGAGATTTTGGGAGATGTTAAGTGAATGTATAGGAACCTTTGAACCAAGTGAGAGAATAATTGTGGTAGGAGACCTGAATGCTAAAGTAGGAGAAACATTGAGAGGGTGTGGTAGGTAAGTTTGGGGTGCCAGGTGTAAATGATAATGGGAGCCCTTTGATTGAACTTTGTATAGAAAGGGGTTTAGTTATAGGTAATACATATTTTAAGAAAAAAAGGATAAATATACAAGATATGATGTAGGGTGAAATGACAGTAGTTTGTTGGATTATGTATTGGTAGATAAAAGACTGTTGAGTAGACTTCAGGATGTACATGTTTATAGAGGGGCCACAGATATATCAGATCACTTTTTAGTTGTAGCTACACTGAGAGTAAAAGGTAGATGGGATACAAGGAGAATAGAAGCATCAGGGAAAAGAGAGGTGAAGGTTTATAAACTAAAAGAGGTGGCAGTTAGGGTAAGATATAAACAGCTATTGGAGGATAGATGGGCTAATGAGAGCATAGGCAATGGGGTCGAAGAGGTATGGGGTAGGTTTAAAAATGTAGTGTTAGAGTGTTCAGCAGAAGTTTGTGGTTACAGGAAAGTGGGTGCGGGAGGGAAGAGGAGCGATTGGTGGAATGATGATGTAAAAAGAGTAGTAAGGGAGAAAAAGTTAGCATATGTCCTCATTTGTTAAGGCCGGTCAAAGTTCCAAGTACTGTACCTTGCAGATGATGATAAACCAGCTCTTGAGGGGTTTGCCAAATTAGCAGCATTTGGCATTATTAAACAGTTAATGCCACCAACTTCAATCTATGTGTATAATTCCAGTCCTCTAACTGCTGCAATGGGACCGCTTGCAGCCCTTATCCATGTGCGTGACTTGTGTCCCGAGGGAACCTTTCCCTATCAAAGGCCTATGTCAGCCGCTTTGACTAATCCTGTACCTCCTCTTGTTTGTGCTACAACCAAAACTCACGATCGAAATCACTCGCGACCGTCATCCAAAGCTAGTGTCAAGAGTTATCATTCCCATAGCACTCGTAGTATGTACAGTACACATAGCCAAAGAACCTGCTATAATTGTGGTTACCGTGGCCATATCGCAGTAAATTGTCCTGATAGTCGACCTAGAGGCATTGTAATGCTGATGGGTACCAGTAAGATCTGCCTTAATGTACTTATCACAGAATTCATAGTCATAACACATCCGAGTGCATTGTTCTCTACAACCTGCAGTACTCTAGATCCTTCCGTGGCCATTCCAACCGTAGAGCCAGGAGAGGAAATAGAGTTCGGGGTTCTCAGACTAACCAGAACCAGCCTCATTCGTCCAATTCGGGAGAATCCGAGCACCCCAGTCAACTCGTCCCGTGGTGACAGTAGGTGATAACAAGTACACCATCCCTGTTCACAATTCCTTTGAAGCCTTAAGCAGTCTTGAGAATGATAATCTCGCTGATGATGTTGCTTCATACGTCTCTGACGTAGATGAATTTGGGGATGAAGTGGAACATACCTTTTCCGATGACAACCCACCTTTTTGTTTGCACATAACTCCCAATGAAACGGTAGGTCCTATAGTGCAAGGATCCATTCATAATGCGCCCGTTCATGTGTTCATGGACTCTGGTGCGCAAGTTAATATTATCAGGTCTAGTTTGTTTAAAGATAAGCAGTTACGACGTGTCCTCCTCGTTGAACCAACTACTGTAACCTCCCTTAGTGGAGTAGCTGGTTCCCTTCTGAGTGTCCGAGGTCAGACTCCCCTCACCTTTTCTGTCCAAGGTAGAGACTTTACTGCTTCTTTCCTTGTTGTCAACCAGATTACTTTCCCTGGTGACCTACTGAGGTTTGCTTCCATGAGAGACTTGCGTATTGTGCTTGACCCTTACCGATGGCATGCCCAAATTGATGACTTGATCGTTCCATTTTAGGGTTACCAGCTTGGATCCAAGCTCTGCCATACTGCCGCAGAGTACGATGTTCGGATTAAGTCATTACAGGCCAATGCATTTTCCAGTAGTGTACCCAAGCGGTCAGGCACTAATAACTCGGTCACTCCCATCTGTGTTCCACCTACACCTTCAGACATGCAGAATAGTGTTCCATTGCCTCAAATGTCCGAGGACACTCAGACTGCCTTGAGTGCACAGCCTATCCCTGTAATGACTGCTAGTTCAAGTAGTAGTTTCTCCACAGGGGATGCCTTGTCGGAAGACGATTACTTGAAACTAGTAATGCCATCTCTTGTTGATGTCACATGCCGTTTGCAGAAAGATGTCTCTATTGCGGCTAGTGCTCTCACTAGAGTGTCTGTTGTTGTTCCTAGTGTTCCAGATGGTGATAACGTCCTAGTTGACAGTGATTCCTGCAAGGTCAAGGGTTTATTTGTTGAACCATCCTTACATGTTGTAAGAGACAATAAGATCCATTTACTCCTTGCTAACACTTCGGGTCACAGTGTTCGTCTCAGAGCAAATACAGTGGACCCCCGCATACCGTACGCATCACATAACGTTCAATCCGCATACCGCTCGCTTTTATCACAAAAATTTTGCCTCGCATACCGCTCAAAAACCCGCTCACCGCTCTTCGTCCGAGACGTGTCCAATGTGCACCCTTAGCCAGCCTCACATGTGCCGCCGGTGGCATTGTTTACCAGCCAGCCTCCGCGGTAACATCCAAGCATACAATCGGAACATTTCGTATTATTACAGTGTTTTTGGTGATTTTATCTGCAAAATAAGTGACCATGAGCCCCAAGAAAGCTTCTAGTGCCAACCCTACAGCAATAAAGGTGAGAATTACTATAGAGATGAAGAAAAAGATCATTGATAAGTATGAAAGTGGAGTGCGTGTCTCCGAGCTGGCCAGGTTGTATAATAAACCCCAATCAACCATCGCTGCTATTGGTGGTACAGCTGCTGCTGCTGCTGTACCACCGTCAGCTGCTGCTGCTGCTGCTGCACTGTCAGCTGCTGCTGCTGCTGTAGCACCGTCAGCTGCTGCTGCTGCTGTACCACCGTCAGCTGCTGCTGCTGCTGTAGTACCATCTGCTGCTGCTGTAGCATCATCTGCTGCTGCTGTAGCACTGTCAGCTGCTGCTGCTGTTGTACCACCGTCAGCTGCTGCTGCTGCTGTAGTACCATCTGCTGCTGCTGTAGCATCGTTTGCTGCTGCTGTAGCACTGTCAGCTGCTGCTGCTGTTGTACCACTGTCAGCTGCTGCTGCTGCAGTACCGTCTGCTGCTGCTGTAGTACCGTCTGCTGCTGCTGTAGCATCGTCTGCTGCTGCTGTAGCACTGTCAGCTGCTGTGCTGCTGCTGCTGCTGTAGTACCGTCTGCTGCTGCTGTAGTACCGTCTGCTGCTGCTGTAGCATCGTCTACTGCTGCTGTAGCACTGTCAGCTGCTGCTGCTGCTGCTGTAGCACCGTTGTTGGTGTGGCTTATTGAGAATACCAAGAAACAATTAACCCCAGAGGATTTGCCACCCAGGATAACCCAAAAAAGTCAGTGTCATCGAAGACTGTCTAACTTATTTCCATTTGGGGTCCTTAATCTTGTCTCCCAGGATGCA